ACAGCAATAATAATTTTAATACCCACATGTTGCTTTAAACTTTACTAAGTATTTATATATATATGTTTCCCAATTCAAAACTGTGAAGTAGGCATAGGTGCGTGGTTTGTTCCCTTCAATTTTTACACACAACATAGGAAACTTAGAAAACATACAATATTTTAATACCATTTAATTTTTGAGGGGGGAATACTTTACAACATCACGCTATTTGGGCAGAAGTCCAAGAAATATATTCTTAAAACCCTCTATATTGGAGACAGCACTCAATTCTTGGAAATGCAGTGCTCTAGTTGAATAATTTCTATTATTTGAAAGAAATTCCATGACTAATGCTAACCACGTGAATGTAATTTGCAGGTTGCCTATAATACTGTTAAAAAAATTCAAGATGGCCAGACTTACATAAAACTTGCATTAGAAAACTGAAAACATGAATGAGAGAATGAAGTATCTATTAATCACCACTGCCTAACTACAGAAGGATTATGTGGGTTTCCATAGATTCTGCTTTGGTTATTAATGACATATATATGTCATTTATATATGTGTATATATATATAATATATATATAAAATAGATATATATAGGTATAATAGACATACTTTTAGATGTGATACAAAATATATACATAGGATATAAAAGATATAGATATATATGATGTAAAATATAGACATACAATTTGAGCACAGACTATTAGAATCTTTTCCCCCTTGGATTTAAAATAAGCAGGGTTTTCATCTTCTCAAATAACCACAGAAGAACAAAAGATTAAAACTCGTTTTAACCACATATGTATAATCTTTCTTAAGGACCACAGATCAGGGTTACCACTTCAATATATATAGAATTGGGTTTTATTAAAAGCTTACTGGGGTAAGTTTTCTTGGGGAAGGCATCTCAGTGGAATCTTTGAAATCCTAGGAAGAGAGTGAAATCTCAGCATCATGATTAACTGAGTGACTGTGGATGAATTAATTAACTTTCTGACCTTTAGACTTCTCGGCTCTAAAATGGTACCCAAAATCTTTGCCCCAAAGTGTGACTGGAAGTTAGAAATGAGACTACATAGAAAAAGCATCTAGCATAGCACCTGATATACAGTGAATGCTTAAAAATATGAATTCTGTTCAACTGTATATAATTGTGCATATGTTATTATTTTGACCTCTTAAAAGGTCCAAACTCCAGGTGCAGAATATAAAATTTATGAATTGGAACAGATTGCTGCAATTGCACACACAGACACAAAATTCAGTGGATTGTAAGCATTAAACACATTATCTTATATAAGGGAAAAAATGCTGCAATAGGATTTTCTCTAAATATTTTCAACCTCAATGAGGGCAATGTTAGCTCTTCATATTGAGGTGAATTTTTATTGCTGGCATTTAGCTTCAGAGTAAATAGTTTTTTAGCTTGAGAGTTATATGATAATTAAATAGAGTATATTTTACTTTATTTACTTTGTAATAGTTTGCATATTATCATTCATATTTCAATACTACTCTGGTTTGAATTTTAAATTTATTTTCTTTTCACTGAATAACACTCTAAAAACACAGTTTTCTAGAGTGTATCATATAATTCAGAGTTTGTTTCAGGTAATATTAATCATCCTCCATGTTCATGTCATTGTTTCCTTTGAAAATCATAATTGGAGAGAAGCAAATAATTACAGAAATGAAATTTTAGGTTTTGTCTTAATAATTGTAGGTGAGATCCTAAATAAGGTAGTCAATTGAAAATATTTCTTGGGGAACTACTAGATACAGAGCAATGTATTAGGTATGCTGCAGTAAACAGCACAATGGCACTGTGCCCATTTAACAAGCTTGCAAAATTGCAGAGTAGAAAATACGCACACAACGTAAGAACCTTAGAACATGTCACAGTGCAGACGGTGCCCGATTTACAATGGTTCAACTTGATGACAGTGTGAAAGCAATATTCATTCAGTAGAAACCATACTTTGGATTTGATCTTTTCCCTGGCTAGCAATATGCAGTATGAAACTCTCTTGTGGTGCTGTGCAGCAGCAGGAACCACAGCTCCCAGTCAGCCACACAACCACAAGAGTCAACGACCAATAAACTTACAACCATTCTGTACCCATACAACCATTCTGTTTTTCATTTTCAGTACAGTATTCAATAAATTACATGAGATATTCAGCACTTTATTATAAAATAGGCTTTGTGTTAGATAATTTTGTCCAACTATAGGCTAATGTCAGTGTTCTGAACACGTTTCAGTTAGGAAACATCTGGTGTGGCACTCCCAGTCTGTAACACCAGAAGGTCAAGATTCCTAACCCTCTCCCCTATAACTCTTCGGCCTACATAACTGCTGTAAGATTTTGTGCCTCCTTAAGATGGTTCTTTGAGACATTAGTCGGCCATCTCCCCTCTTGCTACCAAGCTGTAATAAACTGCCCTTTCTTTTCCACCATCTTGCCTCTTGAGAATTGGCTTTTGTCTCTCTGCAAGCAGATTATGCCCTTTGTGCAGTAAGACTTTAAGTTTCCTGGTATGCACTCAAGGAAGATTGTTTTTGAGTAAGAGGCAGTACTTGATTATATTTTATATAATAGATTAGGAAAGAAACTTACAGGAAACATGGTAGGTTATAATAAGTGTTGTTTTAGAATGAATCATATGTCTATTTTATGAAACATGGATTAGAAATGAGATAAATTAGAAGATGGAAGAAGACCCAGAAGATAATTGTGATGGGTGAAGACTCAGAATTGAAAGAGCACACTGTCCATTTAAATGAGGAAGGAAGGTGGAATTCAGGGGAAAAAAATAACTAGTGAAAGAAGGCCTGGATCCCACTATGCAACTAAGAAAAAGTTTAGGTGAAGGGGAAAAAGAATTCAGGGCCTTTGGCTTTTGTTATGATGGAAATGGAGAGAGACAATTTCTGCTATCCATAAGACACCACAAAGTCTGCCCTCCCCAACAAATGCTTAAGCAAAGCTCCCCATTTGTAGAAAGTGCTGAGGTGATAGGAAGCTAACCCTCATCCCCAACCTGAGAATGAATAGCAGCTGAGAATCTGATAAGGACCTTTAAAATTTGTTAAGGAAAAATATAAATTTCAAGTTTCTGTTGCTCCTATTCATGGCTAAATATGGAGCACTGAATTTATCATTGTGAGTAGATGAGAGTAATTTTTTTTTTTGTCTGAGAGTAATTTCTATGTAACCCTATCCAAAGGAAATGCAAAATTCTACTCACGCCCAGGAAAAGTCTGCACATTGAAGGGCTAAACTGTTCTGCACTATAAAGAGAAGACTGTCTTCTTTGTAGGTTGGGTAAAATGCTGACAGAGTATTACAATGTTGACATATTCTTCACTTAACTGGCTGGACTCAAATGTAGAGAATGCCAAAGTGGGTTCTGCTGGGTGGGATGGAGACCCCAACAACACAGTGGTGTGCTGGTGCTGAGGACAGAGAGTGCAAACCCCTTTGGGAATGCAGGGTCCAATGGCTTTCAGGAGCAGGAAGAGCTGATATACAAGCTTAAATTTTTCTTTTGGGTGCTGTAATTCTGTTAGTTTAACCTGAAGTCTTCAGGAATGTTTTTGTTAAACATGAGTTTACTGTCAACTTTACTACTGTTCAGCAGGTGGTATACATTGGGATGGCCTGAAGTAGCACGGAAAAGTCACGATAAGATGATCAGAGATATGAGTTGAGAAACCCTTAGAAGCATTTGGGAGCAAGAGGTAATGCACAACAACAAAGACATGCTGAGCTCTCACCACCCTCCCATTCTAACCCAGCAATAACCAGGTATTGCTAAAGAAAGGTGTGGAAGACCATACTCCTTCAGTCTATCAAGTCAGAATTTTGTATTGCTCTTGCTGGATATTATAGAAAGGGGACTCTAGAAATCAGGAAAGTTGGGGACTCCAAGATCACACAAGAATAAGAATCCAAGCTAGAGTATTCTTTTTTTTTTTAAAGATTTTATTTATTTAATTATTTTTCCCCCCAAAGCCCCAGTAGATAGTTGTATGTCCTAGCCGCTCATCGTTCTAGTTGCTGTATGTGGGACGCGGCCTCAGCATGGCCGGAGAAGCAGTGCGTTGGTGTGGGCCCGGGATCCGAACCCGGGCCGCCAGCAGCATAGCGCGCGCACTTAATTGCTAAGCCACGGGGCCGGCCCCCAAGCTAGAGTATTCTTTAGAAAATTAAATGAGATAAAACATGAGATAAAATATGTTTTATAATCTTGCATAGGTTCAGAACATGGTAGGATCCCAATATAGGAATTTGAATGTGAGCAATATTTCAATAATATTCCAGGGCGGGGGGGGACTGAATGGAGTCTAAGATGAATACAAAAGCTGTTGTTTGAAAACATACAACTTAATACAAAAACTTCTACCTCAACAAGTCATCTTTCTAATTTAACTATATATCTTTCCCATGCCTATAATGTGTGTACCAGGCAAACACCATAAGAATTTTGTTTCCATATAGAAAAGGCAGTGCCTTCGGCGTGTTTCTAGTTCTATAAATGTCAACTATAATACTAGCATTGTAGCAATGAGAAAGTTTTTAAAAATTCAGTTACACTCAGCTCCTCTATGGCTTCTATCTTGCTATTGCATTTGATCTATTTTGAAAGAAAATTTTTCAAATTGATACTTTCTGCATCTTACCTGAATAATCCTCCTTCCTATCTCAGACTTTTTCAGTGGTGATTTTTATTTCAAGAAACAAATGCTGCCCCTCTTTGGAATATTCTTCTGACCCATGCAGTCGAGTCCTCAAGATGTATTTGGATTTATCAGATCATCCCACATGGGTTAAGATGTAACTGACCTTCTTCTACTGGCCTTACAAGATTCCGCTCCAGGGGATGGAAATGAGGGGAGAATTAAGAAAAAGCATTAAGCCTGAGATTAGGAAAAAAAGACATCCTTCCAAGATTTCTCATGAGGGAAATAAAAACATTGACAATACTACAGGAAAAAAGTATCTCACCAGATATTTGAAGTCACCAGACGATCCAGGAGTCCAAGCCTAATAAAAAACAAAAATAAGGGAGACACAAAAAGATGTTTTAGTTTTCTGTTTTAAAAATATATATACAATTAAATTATAATTCTATAACATTATTATATTTACAAGTATTGCAGACTGATGAAAAAAATTTAGGAAATCATTTTCCTAGGTGAAAATATGTTTTTCACTTAAATTTGTGTTTATTTAATCTCATATTGTGCCGTTAGAAACAAAGAAAGAGAAAATATAGTCAAGATCCAGAAAATGTCTTTCCAATTATTCAGGTGACCATATAATTACTCAGTTTAATTCTCTAAGTTCTCAAAAAAAGGGAGATTATTTTTAAATATGCTTGAAATCCTTTAATATTTATTACATACATTAAATTTTCTTATGGGCAAAGCAGAACAAAGCTTCATTTTAAAGAAGTTTTCCTATTTTTCTGCCTTTGGTGGCTATCAGACAGTAATTAGTTTTGGCTTGGATTCATTTTTGAAAAGTAAATCCATGGAAGAGACTATAATGATAAAAAATAAAAGGATTTTAATGTCCAAATTGTATTAAAATGAAGCTTCTATTTTTTAAAGGTGTTTGAAGTTCAAATGAAAGGCAATATCTGAACTGCACAAATCCCCAAGAGAAAACCTAGCACCTGCCATGGGATGCAAAGGTTTTATAAACGTTGTCTTGTGTAAAGGCAACGGCAAACACTGTCAGGCCTTTTGTAAATATGCCTGCCTGCCTCTGTGTCTGAGCAGACATATTGAACTTCTAACCGTTATTATTATAGAATAAAGGAGATTATTTTTTTAAACACATGATGATCGCCTTTTCTTTTTACCTTGGGAATCAAGTTTGAAATTACATATTGTACGAATATTGAAACACCTATTTTTCTTTGGAAGACAATAGAGAACACAAATGTGAAAAGGAGTTGGCACTATGTGTGAATGGTTTTTTGTGCATATAATTATGTATCTACATCTTATCCTCAGAACATTTAAATTAGATTCTTTTGCTAGAATTATATACATAATGCCGGTCCACTAATTGGCAACAAATCGCTTGGAATGAATCTATTAAAATTCCTTCTGTAAGGCCTAGAATCATTTGAGAAGACCAGCAGTTCATTTGAGAGGAGCAAGTAATGGATTTTGTTGTATTATGAGAGATCTCTTTGAATGCCCTAGCTGGGCTTCAAAGGTGTAAAGTGGATGATTTGTCTCCTGGCAGCCTCTGTCCCTGGATCTTAGTTCTGCTCAAGAGAGTCATAGAGACTGTGTAGTATATTATCTTTCCTTTTCATATTTTAAGTTATTTCTTTGTTGTGAGTTGTAAACCACACAAGAAGCGTGCAAAACTACAAATGTATATAGTTCAATAAATTATCACAAAGTGAATGCTCATGTAATCACCACTCAGATCAAGAACTAGAACATGACTAACATGTAGAAGCCCATAGCTTGTTCTATCACAGTGTGTGTATATGTGGGTATGTATATATACATACCCACATATACACATACACACACACATATATACAAGTATATAACACACATATATATACAGCATACACACAGCATATACACACACAGCATATATACACAGCATATGTATACACAGCATATATACACATACATACACATATATACACACGCATATACATACATACAGTTTGAACCCACTTGATTGCTTCTTGTGGATTATGCTAAAGCGCAGGTTCAAATAAAAACTCAAACCATCTGAGGCAACACAGATACGTACGCAGGAATTTATGGAAATGCAGCATTAATGCCACACATTCATCACAATTTTGCATGGCATATTAACTACACATTGCCAGAGAGGGACAACCGTTTGAACATATCATGTAATGTCATTGAACATATTGTGTATTGTTATTTCAATAAACCATTTATTATATATATATTTGTCTATGTTTCCAGATTTTTTGGTCATCCTATAGCTTTAGTTTGTCTTAGTTTTGAACTTTATACATTTAGAATCATACACTGTATTTTCTTCTATGTCTAGTTTCTTTCCCTTAACATCATGTTTGTGAGACTCATTTGTGTTGTTGCTTGTAACTATAGCTAACTTGCATCACTCTGTAGCAGTCCATTGGATGAATATTACACAATTTATATATTCAATCCTCTATTGGCAGATATATGGGTTGTTTCTACTTTTTAGTTATTATGAATAATTCTATCATGAGCATCTTTTTATAAATGTACATGTATTTCTGTTGGATATTTCCTAGGAGTAAATTACTAGGTCAGAAAATGTGCTTATGTTCTACTTCAGCAGTTATTGCCAAATAGTGTATAAGAGTTGCTATTGTTGCACAAATTCATCAACAAGTAGTTTTATTCTGCTTAATTTTAGTCAGCAGTTTACTGTGTCGTGAAATATAATTATACTTTTAATTTACATTTCCTTGATTATTAATGTTTTAGTGTATTTTCATATATTAGTCATTTATATACATATATATTCAAGAAGATAATTTTTAATTTTCTTGTCTATTTTCTGAGTTGTCTTATCCTATTGATTCGCAGAAGTACTTTATATATTCTAGATATGAGTTCTTTGTTGGCTACATGTGGTGAAAATATATTTACCACTGCATGGCTCACCCTTTTACTCACTTATTGTACCTTTTGTTGCAAATTAATTCTCAATTTCACTGCAGTCAAATTTAACCATCTCTTTCTCTATTTCTTTTTGTGTCTTGTTTTCTAAAAAAAATGGCCATATATATTTCCTCTCTATTTTCTTCTAAAAGCTTTGCTATGTTATGATTATTTTGCCTCTCATATCTAATCTAAAAATCTACCTGAAATTAATGTTCTGCACTGTTTGAGTTGGGGTAAAATATCATTATTTTCCAAATTGACCTACAAAATTTATTGAAAATACCTTACTTCCCTCACTGTTCTATAATGCTAGTTTTGTCATAAATTAAGTGCCCCTAGATGCTTGGTTGTGTTTCTAGAAGTCGATATATTCTATTTAACTATTTGTCTATATCACACTATCCTACACAATGTAACTTTATAATATACCTTGGTATCTGATAGAGCAGGCCCTTCTACATTTTCCTTCATTAATAGTTTATTGACTTTTTTTTGAAATATAATTCACATAACATAGAATTCACTGTTTTAAATTGTACAACTTAGTGGTTTGCAGTATGTTCATAATGTTGTGCAAACATCATCACTAGTTCCAGAATATTTCCAACACCCTAAAAGGAGACTCTGTAGCTTTAGCAGTCAATCTTAATTCTCCCTTATCCTCTTCCCCTGGTGACATTTAATCTGTCTCTACGGATTTGCCTGTTCTGGACATTTCATACAAATGGAATCATACAATTTTTGGACATTCATGTTTAACTCATTTCACTTAGCATAATATTTTCAAGGTCCATCTATGTTGTAGCACACAACAATATTCCCTTCCTTTCTATGGCTGAATAATGGTCCATTGAATGGATATAGCACATTTTGTTTATCCATCTATTAGCAGAGGAATTTGGATTGTTTCCACTTTTTGGCTATTATGAATAATTCCATGAACGTTGATGTACAATTTTTCTCTATGAAAGTATGTTTTCAGTCCTCTTGGGTATATATTTAGGAGTAAAATTTCTGGGTCATGTGGCAATTCTATGTTTAACTGTTTGAGGAACTGCCAAACTGTTTTCCAAAGTGGGTATACCATTTTACATTCCTACCAGCAATGCATGAGGGTTGCAATTTCTCCACTTTCTTAGCAAAACTTGTTATTTTCCATTTAAAAAAAAATTACGGCCACTATAGCCAGGGAGTCTGATGATGTCTTGTTGTGGTTTTAATCTGCATTTCCTAATGATTAATGATGTTGAATGCATTTTTCATCTGGTTATTGGCCATTTGTATAACTTTTTTTTGGAGAAATGTCTATTCAAATCCTCTGTCCACTTCTTCTTTTTTTTTTTTTTGTATGGTAGATTGGCCCTGAGCTAACATCTGTTGCCAATCTTCCTTTTTTTGCTTGAGGAAGATTGTCCCTGAGCTAACATCTATGCCAATCTTCCTCTATTTTGTACATGGGATGCTGCCACAGCATGGCTTGATATGTGATGTGTAGGTCCGTGCCCGGGATCTGAACCCACAAACCCTGGGCTACCGAAGCGGAGAGCATGAATTTAACCACTACGCCACTGGGCTGGCCCCCACCTTTGTCTAGTTTTTATTTGGGTTGTTTGTCTTTTTATTGTTGATTTGTCACTACTATTTTTATATTCTGGATATTCCTTATCAGATATATGATTTGCAAACATTTTCTCCCATTGCCATGCCTTTTCATTCTCTTGTCTTATTTAATTTATCTCAATAATGTAGTAGAATTTTCCATGTACAGCTTTTACACCTTTCAATAGGTTCATTTCTAGTCGATATTTTTTATGTCATTAGACATGGTATTTACATTTTTTATTTATCACTTGTATATAGAAATGCAATTGATTTTCTATTGACCTTACATTGAACAACCTTGATAAAATCATATTAAAATGAATAATTCACTTGTATATTCTTTTCAATTTACTATCTGTACTCTCACATTATATACAAAAGACTGATAGTTTTATATATTCCATTTAAATCCTTGAACTTTAAAAAAATGTATCTGTATATATGAATGCATTCATGCATGCCTGTATGTATGCACAGATGATGTGTGTATGCATGTACATATGTATTTTGCATTGTTACACTCACTAGGACTACCAGTACAACAGTGTATAGAAGTTGTGATCCTGGGCATCCTCCTCTCGATCCCAGTAAAAGGGAAACTTTTACCATTAAGTCCAGTATTTATTGTAGGTGTTTGGTAGATATTCTTTATCACAATGAGAAAGATTCCTTCTATTTCTGTTTACTAAGAGTTTTAGTTATACAGGTTTTTTTATTATTCATTACCTTACTTCAATAGGTATATGATTATTTAGATTGTCTTATGCTTTCTCCTGT